GCCGAGTGTCTGTGCACTTAGATGGGGGCCGCAGAGCTGCATCAACGCCCGCTCTGCAGTCTCACGTAGGCCAGTCTCCTGGCTCCAACAGTGGACGGCCTGAGGAAGCAGCCAGTGTTGTTCCTTGCCCAGTTTCTGCCTTACCACCAGCACCAGGGGCCGGTCTAGGGCTCGGTTCAGGGACCTCTGGTCATTCTTCAGGTCCGCCTCTACACCACACACCCTCACTGTTGTTGATTCCTCACAGGACAAAATATTTTGGATGACACAACTCACACCCACTAAAAAATCAACAACAAAAAGTTTCCGCAATTAACAAACAAATATTTTTTCAATCTCACAAATTATTTTTGCATCAAAACTAAGTTTTGATATTTGTAATTTTTTTTTTTTTGTGGCGTTTCTAAAGAGTCTAAGAATGAGTATTTTTAAACACAAGGTAATAAGACCAAATCCAAATAAATAAATAGTGTGTGACATTTCGGTAACAGCATTGTTACCGAAACGTCACACACTATTTCTTTATATTTGGTTTTATTACCTTGTGTTTATAATCTATAATCCAAATTGTGTCTTATCAATGAGTATTTTTAATAAGCAAATAAAAAAAAATTATTGGCACCATCCTTTTATCTAATTTACTAAGCCAAGTGATATATATCCTAGCAACTCTATCAAAGGATAACAACATTGGAATAGCAAATAAAAGGTAGCCAACAAACAAATAATAATAATGATTAGTTTCAAATGACTTCTTTGCTATCTCTACAGAAGACATTAGAAATAGATTAGTGGAATATGTGCAAGGATCCAACATGGATGTGGAGTTAGCTAACCTGTAATCCTCGAGGCCGGGGTAAAGGTCTTGAGTTCAGCCTCACAGGCATCTTCGTAATCCTGTGCTGTTTGTACAGGAGTAGCGGTGACATCCAGGTCCTTGGCATGCTTGGCTGCTTCTGCCTTCTTCCTGTGCATACAAACTCTTGTTGTTTGGGAGACTTGGCATTGGTGTCAAGATTGAATAATTCTAGATAATAAGATACTCTTATAGGTACTATATACTATAGGTAATAAGGTACTATTATAGGTATACGAGGTAAAAAGACCAAGTCTTATTACCTTGTGTTTATAATCTTTAATCCAAATTGTGCCTTATCACCTAGTGCAATATTGAAAAATACACATACATACACAGGTCTAGAAACAAAAACAAAGGTATTGTTAAAAAGAAATATTGAGTTTTATTAGCCATGAGCCCTACCCCAACAGTTTCTCCAATTTAATCTACAAGACTACAATTGTATTGGGCTGTACTGCTTATAAAGATGGCTATTTAGTAGAAAGTTTTTCTCCTGTCAATAAAGATTTGTCTCTAGGTTTTTTTCTTTAATATAATGTAACCTCCCTGTAAAGGACACTTAAATGCAGAGCCAAAGTGTTCTTTAGGGAGAGGTGTCCTCTTACCAGAGATTTACTAAATAGTAAAAATGGTAATATTGGCAATGAAATCTGTCCTTTGTAGAGAGGTGTCCTATAGTGTGAGTGTCTTCTCATGGAGGTTCTACTGTGTATAACTTTTAATTTGTACCTCCTAATGTGAGTATAGCTCAGGTAGAGGGCAAGCAACATCCTAATAGGATGGCTAACACAATAGAGGACCGAAGGAAAGCTAGGATGAGCTTTCAACTCCATCCTTGTAATAAAAAAGGACACTTTCTTGCACTTGGGGGAACTTGCACTTTTAATACTTTTAACTTTACTATAAGTACAGAGTAGAAAGTTTTTTTAAAAACTAGCTCTAACTTTTTTTCAAAATTCTTAATTATGATTTACTTATATTGAAACAGTCTTTGATATGATCCCAATTTAGATAAAGGTTTTTTTTTTTAAACATCTAGGAATAACAAGACAAAAATATAACTTGAGATATTCTGATATATGATCACCAATTTACTATACCTTTTAAAGCACCAAACTTAATTGCCATTTCTAATCATAAGCTCAATTTACCCCAATTTATTATTATTACTTTTTAGTTGAATCTGAGGAGTTTTAAATATTGAGCATGTAAATCTTGCCTTATGGTACAATCTGTGTGTTTATTAAATTTTGGGTATTCAAATCATAATTTTTAGTAAAAAAACTGGTAGATTGAACCATTGTTAGGTGGCTAATCTTGATTTCAGTTGAGTCCAGAAGTTGAAACAATAATTTGTGAGAAGGTGACAGATCAAATAAAGGTGAAATTTGATTTTTGAGCAGTTCAACCAAATGTAGGAGGGAGAGATGGGTCTGTAGAGTGCCTAACCAACTATATATATAAAAGGGCCTGATAAAGCACAATTTGGATTATAGATTATAATAAAAGAAAAAAGACCTAATCCAAATAATTTATTAGTGTGTGATGCTTTGGCAACAACATTGTCACCATCATCAGACAAAAGAATAATAAAGTTATAAAATAATAAAGTTTTATTCTTTTGTCTGATGATGGTGACAATGTTGTTGCCGAAACGTCACACACTAATAAATTACTTGGATTACGTCTTATTTTCTTTTATAAAAGGGTCTGTTAATAAGTAATGCACACAATGACGCATAGAGAAATATTTAAATAATATAGGAGAGAATTGTAGAGGCATTGGTATTTCCTGTGGTCACTTGTGAATGTGCGAGCTGGACTCTCAGAAAAGAAAAAAAATTGAAATCTTTGAAAAGTGGACACGGAGAAAGTTACTCAGAGTGCTATGGACAGTAAAAAAGGTCAAATGTTTCAATCTTAAATGAAATTAATCCTGTTAGATCCCTAGAATCCCAAATATGCAAACAAAGACTGACCTACTTCAGACATTATGAGAGCAAATGGTTTAGGAAATATGATGTTGGGAAAAATTAAAGACCTGCAATGAGCTGGCTAGAAGAGCTGAGAGTGATGGTCACTAACAAATCAAATTGGGCGCTATCTATACATCTAAAATAAAAGGATTTAAAAGCGCGAATGTTTCTTTTATACATAATACAAACTTCTACTGTCCTTACTGCGATGAAAACATATATTGGGAGGGCTTGGCTCTCTCAGTAGTGAACCCTCCCAGCGGTTTCGCCAATTTAATCCACCAGACCTCTTCTCAGAGCTCTAAATGTGGATTAAATTGGCGAAACCGCTGGGAGGGTTCACTACTGATGAGCCAAGCCCTCCCAATATTTTTTCATCGCAGTAAGGACAGTAGAAGTTTGTATTATGTATAAAAGAAACATTTGCGCTTTTAAATCCTTTTAATCAAATTGGAGAATATTTGTCCATATAGTCATAAAAGTCAAACTTGACTTGATGGATGTTCTATAACAACAACATATCATCATAAAAAAATAATGTTTTCTGATTAAATAAACATTCCTCTTTTCATATCTGCAAACCAAATTGAGATATCTTTTGTATTTTTGCAGATATTCAGCCTGAAGTAAACACAAGAATCCGGACAATAGTGGGTGAGGGAGTTCCTGTTTAAGTCTGGAGATATTTTAGCCACTGTAATTCACTCGAAGCTAAAGTCGGTGTATGGATAGAAGCATAAATACAAAATGGATTCAGTGCTTACAGACGGGTGATTTTTGATATTTTTTATATTTATGACGACACGTATCAAATAAGGAAAAAACTTTCCATATCTAAAGGAAGTTTATTTAAACCTTTCATCTTGGATATCTAAAATTGTGCCCAAAATGAGCAAGAAAACTAACACAAGAAAGCATGCAAATTCGGAGATTTGTTTAGACTTCATAGGGTCTTTCTGGAGAACCTTTTCAAGTGTTTGAAGGTATGATAACATGTGATGAGTCTTGGATTTGTCATTAAGATCCTTCTTCAAAGCACCAATTAATGCAATGGAGCCATAAAATATCCTCAGTAAAGAAAAAACCAAGGTTTTCCTTTTCCAAGGAAAAAAAATCATGATATCTGTCTTATAGGACCAAGAAGGGCTGATATCATGGACACTCATGAAAGAAATTCTTCTATCTCTCAACATGGAAAGGTATTATAAATAATTTTAAATCTAAATAGGGAAATTGAAACAAAAATACAACTTAAAAAAACACTTAAACTAAATTTCATAAGGATAATTAATGCAAGACCTCGCACAGTGCACCTGACTGTGACAAATATTAAAGGATATGTGTGAACTTTGATGCCTCACCCTGCGTACAGCCCCGAACTGGTATTCACAAGACTTCTACTTGTTTTGAAGATTAAAGTTTTTACATGTTAAAACATTTTAAAGTGATGCAATTTTACTCCAAGCTGTTAGAGAGTGGTTCAGAGAGCTGGATAAGGCATTTTACCAAAGTGCTTTTTCAAGTTGACAACAACATTGGATCAAATGTGTACAGAAGGAAGGTGGATATATTGAATGACTATAATATATAGAGAACTGTTAGAAAAGTTCTTACTTCAGAATTTGTTTTTTAGTTTGTCTATAAAAAAAGTTTTTACTGATTGTGCATTATTTATTGACCGAGCCTTGTAGTAGTTGGCACTTACTAGAAAGACAAAAAAAAAAATCCAAAATATCAACAGTTAAAATTAACAGTGGTTCCAATTACCAGTTGTCCCAATTATCAGTGGCTCCAATTATCAAAGTTCAAATTATCAGTAATCTCAATTATCAGCAGTCCCAATTAATAGTTGTCAATATCAGCAATCTCAATAATCAGCTGTACCAATTAAGAGTATTCCCAATTAATCTGATACACTATATTGTGGATATTATATTATTTGGTGATTGGCTTAAGTTTTTACCTTCTCAGAAGGTTCCAATCTGAGAGTAGTTAGAGAGTTTGCTCTACAAAAACCATGGTTTACAGCAGTTACAAGTGAGTGAAGAAAGATATATACAAGTAGTAGAAATAGGAAGTCAGCTCACAGGTCCTCTATGTGCCTGAGTTCATGGTCTGAGTAGTGGCTGTTCTCCACACCAGCTTCCTCCATGTACTTCTTGAACCGCAGCTCAATCTCATGGAGGTCCTGCGTGATGACCGGCCGCCTCTCCACACATATGGACCCCAGCAGGTCCCACGTCACCCGGCCTCCACTACTGTTCCACCCTGGAACCCACCACTTATTGCTGTCACACTCGAGACACTCCCCACCTCATTAGAACATCATCTGGGGCAGAGATTTTGTCTAAATGTGATTTAGTTATCCTAGTTAGGGTGAATTAAAATTACCTAAAAGGGGGACCCCTGTAGAGGAGTGGTATTAACTGTCAATTTTCAGCAACCATAACCTGAGATTGAATCTTGGATGGGTAATTTTTCCTAAAAAAAAATACTTCAATGGCCCCCCAATTCTTCCAAAAGTCCAACCCCACCAGTGAATTCAGGTAACCAAAACAGAGCCCTGTCACCCTTATAACTATTGTTTCAGCAGTGACCAGCTACCCACCATGATTATCATAGCCTGTACCAGGTGTACTTGTGATAAAAAAAGGGGACCTAAAAGTAGCTAGACAAAAACTAGAATGAGTAGAACACAGACTAAAAAAAACACATAGAAACTGGGAGGGTTCACCACTGATGAGCCAGGCCCTCCCTTTAATTTTTTCATCGCAGTAAGGACAGTAGAAATTGTTTTATTTTAAAAAGAATAATACGCCTCTAAAATAGTTTTATAAAAAGAATCACTTCTATTAAAGACACTCAATATGAAGAATATATAAAGCAGAAAAAATTTTGAATTAGAAACCACTATTAACTAAACGGAGGTCTGGTCCATTAGAAAGTGCAAAAGTAGAACAGCTTTCTACATGTGTAGCCATGTGGTGGACACATGCAGTTGCCAACTACTATCCACCATGATTATCATGACCTGTACTATGTGTACTGAAGATATATATTTTTAATTCTATCATTTAATATATTTAATAGTATGATGCACTAGTGCGCCATCTGTTATCAAAATTTGAAACTATTTTAAAGGCATAAGATTCTTTTTGAATTTCTTGTTTAATTTCAAAAAGAATCTTACGCTTTTAAAATAGTTTCGAATATTTAATAGTACAATATATATATATTTTATTTTTATTCAAAAAAAAAAAAGTGCTTAATATTTTAATTTGAACAACACATATACATTGTTTTCAATATGATAAGACGCACATAATTTGAATTATAAATTAGAAATATTAAGGTAACAAAACTAAATCTAAATCAATAAATTGTGTGTGACATCTCGGTAATAGTATTGTTACCATCTTCAGACAAAAGTACTAGATAATTTTGTCTGAAGACGGTAACAAAGCTGTTATTGAAATGTAACATACAATTTATTGATTTGGATTTAGTTTTGTTAGCTTATATTACATTGCATTCAAATTTAAAGGACAATGTACAAAAAATAAAATTAGAAAAAAAAAATTATATTCAATATGAGAAAAAAAAATTCAAAAGAGATACAAAAAATGTATATTTATTTGAAGTCTTATTTTCAGATTCCATGCTTTGAGCAGGTGGTCAGTTGTGCCATGCTTTTCTATCTTAAGCCCATTCAATTTGTGACTTTCTCAGATGACTTTCAACAGGCCTTGTTCCTCTCCTAATCATCTCAAGATGATCCATCTTTCTATTCTCCTCCAGATGTCCATTTCAAAGGCCTCCAATCTTCTTTCCAGTGACCATATCTCTGAGCCATACAACCTTACACTTCACCAGCTCATCCTCTTCTCCTTTATTCCAATGAAAGCTGTTTTCCCCTGTTACAATTCTGTGCCATTATCCAAAATCAACCAAGGCATTGATAGCTCAACTTGTTTAAATACTATCTTCTATAACACTCAATTTTCCTTCTCTCTCAGCCTTTTTTTTTTTTTTTTACCATTATAAGAGAGTTTTTGTCTTGTGTATGAATTCACCTAGTAATGCTTCTTAATTGTTTAGAACAAGCAGAGAAGTCTGAAGTTCTTTGACAATATTGTCTGGTCTATCTGCAAGTTTTGGTGTTGGAACAGGCTCTCCATTCACATTTCAACTTCCTTCAGCGTGGATAGCCTTGGAAATAAGAGGTTAAACAGTATTGGTGAGAGTGAAAAAACACCCCTTCAGCCTCATATCTCCATCCACCTTATAGCTAACTTTTTCCACTAGTTGCTTGAAACACTTCTGCTGAATATTTAAATTCAAGAAATAAAACTACAGTATGCAACCAAAAATTCCAATCCCTTGGGGTGTTGAATTAATGAAATTAGACTGTATTAGGCAGAATTTTTTTTCTTTTTAACTACAGTAGAACCTCCCTGTAAAGGACACCTAATTGCAGAGCCAAAGTGTCCTTTAGGGTGAGGTGTCCTCTTACTGGAGAGTTGCTAAATAGTAAAAATGGTAATTTTGCAAATGAAAACTGTCCTTTGTAGAGAGGTGTCCGCTAGCGGGGTGTCTGCTAAAGGGAAGTTCTCCTGTATATAAAACACACTTCTAACTGTACTTAACTGCACAGAAAAATATCAGGAGAGCAATTTGCTGTAGTGAACTCTCCCAACAGCTTCACCAGTTCAATAATCTACCATATCACTTTCTAGAGCCTCTACTAATGTATTGGATGTTCACATTTATCTGAGGGTTGAACCTTGGTATTGAATCAAACTAAGACAGTAGGAATATATGTAATTTGCACATAATCCTACTGTCCTTAGTTTGATTGAATACCAAGGTTCAACCTTACAATTTCAGATATATGTGAACATACAATACATTAGTAGAGGCTCTAAAAAGCGATATGGTAGATTATAAAACTGGCGACGCTGTTGGGAACACTGATGAGCTGGACCTTCCCAATATATGTAATTTTTCATAGCAGATAGGGACATTAGGAATTGTGGTTTAGTAGAAAAACTTGTGCTTTAATAAGATAAAGCACAATTTGGATTATAGATTATAATAAAAGAAAATAAGACCTAATCACACACCAATAAATTATTTGAATTAGGTCTTATTTTCTTTTATTGTGATTTAATAGTTTCATTTCTTGAATACAGATGACACATTATTGCCTTGTTTTTAAATATTCAAATGTTTTAACCAAGTTTGGTTTGTTCAGGCTTATTTCCATGTTTACCAATTCAGTTTGCAAGTTAATTTTTCTGAGTGTAAAATTCATTAGAGCTATACCCTCTTACCACTCTCTGGAAGCACATGGCTGTTTGTCCAATATACATTTCTTTTATTAAATCTTACTTATTCCAATGCTCTCCATAATCCCAAGGAACCTGGTCAGGAGATTTTTGGCCAAATGTAAACAAAGAGCAGTCATTGTGTTAATTTACATACCACTTTTAAACTTTGTATTTGCATAATTAAATCAAAATATTTTGAAGTGTTAAATAATATCTTTTTTTTTAAAGAATTTAAGACAACTTAAACTAACTCAAATCTAACCATTCTGAAACTAACTCAAATCTAACCACTCTGAAACCAACCTAATTTAACCTATCTAGAACTATATATAACCTAGTCTATTTGAATCTAACCTAACTTTGCATATTGATACAAGTGGCACCCAATTATCTTTTTTTTTTTTATTCTACTTTTTTTATAGATATTTTAAAGTTGAAAAATTACATCTTGTGGAATATTTGTTAAATTAATATAAAGCTATCTTATACATGTGATTGTCATGCAAATTTTGTAATCTAAGCTATACCGAGTTTTATAGAGTAAAATTAAACATTAAAGGTACAAAAAAACAAGTGTCAACAATAAAATTTAAATTTATAAAATGGTATTATTTTAAAATAATTTATTTTGTGATGGATATTTAAAAAGTGGTATGATAATTATACATGATGGTGCTCTTTGTTTATATTTAAATTAGGCATTAGAACAATTGCATTATGTTTATTACTATAGTTAAAAACTTTACGGCAGCGATATCAAAAATGAACCACAGAATTTTTGACAATACAAAAAGCCAACAACCTGTATATCATGGTTTTGGGCTATGTTTCTCATCAGTACATGATTGGCTTCTATTTCATAACATCCAATAACATTATGCAATATACTAATACATAATTAAAGGGTAAAGTGCCTCTTTTGGTACATGACTATCATCCTTTTCTAACTTTTACATTGTATTCTAGTCAAAGAAATTGGCCTCTGCCAATTGATCAGCTTTAACACCTTTTTAGTAATTTCGATTGGTTTTAAAACTATTCATTGATAGGTGCTTCTTTTGGTACATATATACATATACATATACCTTAGTACTATCTTTGGTGAATTTTGTTGAAGACAAATTTTAAGCTGTGCCCTTTAATGCACTTTCAAACCAAGAAAAACAGAAAAACCTCTAAACGAGTTTAATTTAAATCGTTTAAAGTTCTATAAAGATTCTCACTAATAAGCTATTAGTGTATTTAATATTTATTTGACATGTAATTTCTGAGTATTAAGGTAAAAATGAATTTAGGTGAATATCAATTAGGAAAAAAATTTGCATACGCCTCACATTTAAATGAAGCATGAAAATTTAGATTGGAATACAAGACTATATTTTATTCATATTTAAAATAGCTATTTTTGTTTAGGTAAACTTCCAATGTACTTACTTTGCAAAATTAGATTTTGATATGTCTTTTTTCCGATAGATTTATTATAGGAATTTAAAATTGTACTGAATCTTATAACGCACGTTTTCAGCATTTTAACTATTCACATATATAATGAAACTAATAAATTATTTTAATATTGCAAGAGAAAATTAAAAATCTAATTGAAATTACGGTGCCGTAAATAAATATTCACACATGCCAAACATAATAAACACAGAATAATCTTGTCACTAAAATCTATGAATATAAATATTTTTTCAGCAATAGAAGAAACTAGTAATAATAGTCAAATTATTATTTTTTATTTCTCATAAAATAATTTAGTAATATTTATCAAAGTATATTTAGAAAATAGGAAGATAGGGAACGGCTTCAGGATATCTGGCCTCATACACTTCGATATAACCAACAGCACCCCAAAGTATCAAAATTACGCTTATAGAGCAGACTATTTTTTATTTCGAATTTCCACCTTGGTCTATGGCATTTGAAATTTTTG